CAGTTTTATTTAAGAAAGGACTTGTGTCGCTAAAGTTTCGTCGGAACGAATTTACGGAAAATTAACTAACGAAACGTAACAATATGTTATGGGGAGAGCCGAATATGCGTAGAATAGTAACTTATCGTAGAATAACTGTCCGATTGCAATGAACTTTGAATAAAAGGGTATAAATAGTTTTAAAATGCTCTTATTTCATTTTATTTGACTTATTAATTTTTGTTTGTTTGATGGGCTTTAATTTTTATATATGCATTTCCATTATTTTTTGTTCAACGTGCTATCGTGTTATTATCACGATCTCCCCTAAGAGTGACAAAATAGGTCCGCAGAATAACGGGAGATTCGTGAAGATATTTATTCCGAAATAATTGTATATTCTCTGACTGACAAATTTCGCGAAATATAATGAAATGTACAATCACAATAAACAATTTTTATTCAAAGAAACACTGTGCGAATGTATTTTACTTGTTACAACGGGCTGCCATCTTTACTAAAGTATTATGTATGATGTCGTCTCTAACTCAGTCAGATGAGGTCGTATGTAAGACTAACTCTGTTGAGATTTGTGTTGCAGACTAATAAATCTCTTTTTATTTACTTAACCTATTAACATAAGGCTTGTCCATAGTGGTTTATGCTTCTCACATGACAGATAATTCCCAATAAAACATAAGGGAGATCATAACCTCAAGATATCACCTGACCGCCAGTGGAAATAAAATTGTCTCACTTCACATACTATGGGTGATTTTGTAGCTATCTTTACCACTGGAAGTTAAAACAATACCCCTCTAGGTATACGAAACAAAACAATAGGTAGTTAGAGCAACAGTAACTTTATAACCTTTTTTAAAAAACATGTTATGTGGAAAGTGCACACACATAGACAACTAACAAATTATAAAAAAAATCTTATATTGATTCCAGAAGGTAGAAAGCATAGGATACTTTTATATACCGCACTATTATAAATTTGTGTTTCTATTTCTGGAGAAGTGAAAGAGCCAAATGTATCACTCTAACAAATGTGTGCTATTGTATCTAAATTTTCTAAATTCATTAAGTACATCTTTGTTGTTTAATGTAAAGAGTTTGTAAGAAAATCTGCTTAGTGCCAGCTGAGCGAAAATTAAAGTTTATTGATAACAAATTATAAGTATTTAAAATTAACTTAATTTGGATAATCATTAATTCATTTGACTGTCTCAGAAGCAAGAACTGTAGCCCCTTCTAAGTAGCTTACAGAAAAAGATAGCTCTTATGAAGTTTGAGAAGGAGTTTCTAAACATATTTTTTAAATATAATTAAAATTTAAATAATTGTGGTTTGAACACGGTCAAGTACAAATTCAAAAGCAAGCAAAATCTTCACTTTGAATAAGTGGAAATTATTTTAAGTGTAAATAAGTTACATTATATTATTCTGTGGGTGTTTCTTGTCATTGAGCTAGAAGGAGAAAAAAGAAAACAAACATGCTGCTATAACGTTGTTTTTTGTTGGCAGGTTCCTGCGAATAATTCAAAGTCCAGTCCACATAAACGACAATAAGTAATATATTTATTCTTTGGCGTTTCTACGAGCTTAAATACTTGTACACTATTGTAACTTGTTTTAGGCCTGCATTTACAAACGACGTTAACGGCACTACACTTATGTAAAGAATAAACTTACTTCTACAAAGTAACTTAATATACGCGATATCTAACACAAGCCCCCCCA